TATAACAAAATTCTATTAAACAATCAAACATCGAGTTATACTTTCGTTATCATGTAATAATAACAAATAGATTTCAGTATTTTAAGGTACTTAATGATACAAAAAATCATCAATGATTAATGTTCAAATATAATGATTAATTTATGGCAAATAGGTTTCACTTTTATTTTATATCGTAAAGAAAATGTCTCAAATATTTTTTCTTTTCTTGTTTTTGTTTAATAAACGATCAATGTAATACATTGGAAAATATTTCTATTAATCATATGTGATTTTTTGCGATCTACTTAATTACAAGAAATTTATTTATTTGTATGAATTATATTATATGATAAAAGAAATTTGTGTGATATGTAGGAATAATAGGATCTTTAGAATTTATGAGATAAAACTTTTATTTTATAAAAACGACGTTAAGTGGGCTTGTGAAATATTTAATTGAGATAAAATATTAGCGAATATTTATAAAAACTATTTTTCACACAAAATAAAAAAAATGACAAAAGTTACTCTAAGCGAATATTCTAGAATTATGTATGATTAATTGTTATGGTATGTATTATTTGTAAGTTGGCTTATATTTTGTTTACGATACGTGTACATATATAGACGCGAAATATTTTAATAAATATTTGGAGAAAATATATACTCGAAGTAAGTTTTTTATTAACTAACATATAAAAATTACTAGAAATAATAATAATCAATTGTACAACTTTATCTTATTCATATAAAATTAACATACATTTTTTTAATAGCTACTACTATAAGAATTCGTTTTCTATAATATGTATAAAATATAATTTGAATGTAAATTCTGTTTATTTTTTTCTTTTCAGTAAAATTTTTTTCTAAAAATTTCATCTAAAAGAAGATGTTTTCTTTATAGAAGTAGTTGTTTTAATAGCAGTGGTGGATTTCGTAGATTTAGTACTTCTAGTAACTCTTCTCCGAGATTTACTCATTTCAGATATGTCACTTTCATTATTTAACGTGATTTTTTCTAATGGTTTGTTTTCATTTGTAAACGTATTCTTTGTTCTCTTAGATTTATGAGAAATTCCAGCTGCTTCAGTATTATCAATAACGATCGTTGGCATTGTATGTTTCACATTTGAAATATCATTATTAGTTTCAACTTCTGAAATAACTAATTTTTTAAACAATGCTATTGAATCCTTAACTTCTGTATCACATGCTGATTCATTTGAATGTGATGCACTTTTACTGCGTAATCTTCTTTGCCGTGTACACGATCTTATTTCCAAATTATCTACCATTTCAAATAATTTTTCTACAGTTTCGTTCGTTGCAGGTATATCGAACTTCTTCGTAATTTTGTTTAAATGATCTGAAATATCTGGCACTAATGGAGCGATTTTAGTAATAATCTTTGTTACAGAAATATCTCCAATTTTTTCTGCATCTGTTTTTTCATTTGACTTGTTAGTATCTTCTACGTATTCATTTTCTAAAATTTTTCTTCTTACTAATTTAGTACGAGAAACTGGTGTTTGGCACACATCTTCTAATTTAGAAGGAGAATTATCACTTTCTTCGTCGCTCAAATTTATGTTGATTTTTTTCAATTTTAACAACGGCGGCGTTTTATTGCGATGAATAGATATTGGATTTTTAGGCTGAATATGAGTAACAGGAGTGAGACACATTTTATATGATACTTTTTCTTGAACTATAAATTTATTAATATCGATTTCAGGTGTTTTTGGTACCGTAAAGCCTGCAATAGATAAAATTAAAAGTTATTATTAATACAAAAACTTAATATATATTTATTAAATGTTTATCATTATATGTAAAATGATTACTTGAATAATCCTGGTCTGTAATAACTTCCTCAAATTGATATTTATATACTAATTCTTTAGCAGATATGTATATCGGATGACTCTCTATTTTCTGTGTCTCACATATATCAACTGCTATTAAAGCAATCTTTAAAGCTTCATCTTTTCGTGATTTTATATAAGCTTTCAATAGAAAACTAAAATGCAAAAGTAAAAGTATATAATCAGTTATATATAAACGAGCTTGCCAAGAGAACTTTTTTGTGCTATTAGTCTCCTCCAAAAAGTTTCTTGGCAAAGTGGATTCTTCTACTTTAAAAAGTTTTTGTTTCATTTTAAAAGCTCCATGAAAATGTTCAAGCGAAGCTGCGATGTTATTTTGTAATGCATATAATTGTGCTCTGATATGCGTACTAGCGAGTAATAAATACTGATATTGTACGTGTTGGCATAATATACATGTACAATTAATATGTGAAAAAAAGTCTGGGTAATTGAAAATTTTTCTTCTCAAGATTGGTGAAGTATCATTCTGCATCGTATTCCTTCTAGAATCTATTAAACGATCTGGGGATATTTTTAAGCTTTCTAATGTTGTTTGTTTCAATTTAGTATTCATGGAAAGTTTAATAGTTTCAGTATCTAAGATGTGTTCAAGGCCTTGAAGTTTCACTTCGCAATCATCCAAACGTGAACGTGATAAATCAATAAAACAAAGTGATTTTAATATTTCTGCAGTGCGTAGGGTTGCTCCTAAGGCTTGTGCTAATTTTAATTGTACCACTAAATGTGCAGTAATTTCTCGAAATGATAATAAACTGTTTATTAATGCAGACATATTAATGGTAGATGAAAATAATATGTCGTAACTACAAAGATAATTATCTGGATTCATCCCTATAAATGAACAAAACATAAAATAAAAAATAAAATAAAAAAATAAATATATAAAAGTACGTTTTCTTTTAACTATAACTTACATTTGATTGAAGCCAAACTATCTTTTAAACATATCAAAGAGTAAAGACTTTCAATAATATACGAAGTATATTCCTCTTGTTCCACGTTTTTTTTGTAAAGATTATAATTACGAAGGATTGTATCTAAACTGTATAAATATACAGCAGTGTTATTTTGAAACGTAATTCCTGGTAAAGATCTAGCATCGTCTAGTAATTTTGTAGCTATCGAATACTGCAAAAGAAATATATTTTGTACTTTTAGCATATCACATTTAAATATTATAAATAAATATGCTTACTTCGCCAAATTCAAAGTAAAAATCTGCCAGACTGATCCAAAACACAGCAATTATATGAGATTTAGTTTCATTGCCGGAATCTTTTAAATTATTAGCATATTCCTTAGCCTGAGCAATCCATTCGTTATTTATTTGACGTAAAGAAAGGCTACGACCAGTAACTATGATGGAATACTTATTTATAAATTTCTCATGGTATTAATAGTTAGATTGTTATTAACTTTTAATATTAAATAATTATACAATTAGAAAACAAATTTATATTTACATACCATAAACGAATATATCGTTATTGTTCAATTCGATTGACAATTTACTTGCAAGATTCCATGCTTTAGATTCACAATTTTCATAACGATACAGTCTACAGTACTCAGCAGCTATAATCAATATATACAATGTCAATAATGGTTCCCAACTTTGAGTTACATCAATCTGTGTTAAGTTTTAAAAGTCAACATATTAGTAATAATAACATAAACATGCTTTATATGTTCATTTTTTATAAAAATAATTAGTATAGAATAAAAAAAAAACTTACAATATTTGGTTCAATCTCATCCCATGTTTTTAATGATTGTTTTAAAAATTTCATAAGACGTAAATCTTCTTTGATATTTATTTTGGAATATGCTGGTATTATGTAAGTTCCTTGATTATCCGATAATTTAGGAGCTTTCAAAGCAAATTCTGCATTATCCATTTCTATTCGTGTACATTCATTGGAGATACGCAATTCATTTACATATATAAAAAATTGCAAATTTGCTTTTAAACATAAAATATTGATAGATTTATCTTTTAATAATTCTAATTCAAAAAGAGTATTTTTGAATATATCAGATGTATAATTTTCTTTTATATGCAACAAATGATATCCGAACAATTGCATGAAACATGTGCGCTGTATAATGTTAGCTTTTAAAATTTTTAATTCGTTTAACAGAGAATTAAATGCTTCAATAAGATTAAGTTTTGCATCTTTCAAAGCCATTGCTTCTGTTAAACACAATTCTATAAGATCATACTTAGATAAATCAATATGGATACCAATGTCTTCAATCATTATTCTATCAGTTCGCAAACATGATACCATAGATATATTTATAAAATTAGAAGAAGTTTGTGCTATTTTATATTTAATACTCGTCCATATTTTAAATGCCTTTGAATTCTTATCAGTATAACTTAATAATCCATGTAATGCTGATACAGTCATTGCTTCCCTATACATAGCCTTTTTATAATGAATATTACTTAATCTATATAATGCAACGCAAAGAGGATTTTGAATGTTTAAAGGTGAATTTTTACAATGCATTCCTTCAAAATAAATAATACTGGAGCATAGTAATGAAATAAAGAAAGTACTTGTATCGTAAAATGATTCAAATGTTGATCCCATATTATAAAGTAATCTTCCACATAAAGACCATAAGGTTGTCCAATGTCCGCAATTACTTTCTTTTATTTTTTTGAGATAAATTATATTTTCCTCCATAAATCTGTTTATAAGTTGCAATATATTTTCTGGTAAATCCTTTATAGATAGTTTGGTAACTAATATTGTACATTTAGCTTTCAATATTATATAATTATATAAATCTTTTTTAATTGTACATTTTTTAGAACAACATATACAATTTTCTATTACTGTTTTTATTAAAGTTTTACTTATCTGATCTACTAACTTCATGGTTTCATATAAAATATTAGTTTTTAAAAATTGTATTTTCCCTAATGTTAAATTATTTTCCCAATATAAAAATACATATTGAAATATTTCAACAAAAAATGATGCTGTAATCATAACTGTATCTGTATATCCACATCTTTTAACAATATCAATGTATTGGCTCGTGAGTCTTTCCATATGTTTAGAAGTGGATTCTGTTAATTCTTCATCCGGTTGTAACAATGTAATACATGTAGTTTTAAAATGTAAAAAACTTTGGTAACAATCATCAAATATCATATTCTTAAAATATTTTGATTCATCTTCTAAAATATGCATTAAAAACTTTTTATCACCGTCATTAATATTCGTGCAGATTAATTTACCAATGATGTTTAATATAGAAGAATAAATTTTATGTTTATCATTTTTATTTATCGACATGTGTTCATAATCTTCATTAATTATATATTTAATAAAATCATTGATGTATTCATTTGATATATTTTTAATTGCTATAAGTTTTCTCAGATATACGCTTAATTTTATAATAAAATGTCTTGCAAGATTTTTATACGATTTTTTTGTTATTAATAATTCATATTTGATGGCATTTTTATATCGATCATAATGTTTTCTATGATTTGGCTGTCGTTGCAAGCTTAATAACTCTTTTTCTGCAGATTCATGCCACAAATATGTTAATTGTCGAAAAATTTCATTGATTTTATCTTCAATGCATTCAAAGTTATCTCGAATTAAATATGAAGATAGATTTTCAGCTTCTTCATATAAATTCATTCGTAATAGACAGCGTATTATGTGATATAAACTTGAGGTAAATCTTTCATTATCAGGTATCGTTGATAAATTGGAACATAACAAAGATGCTAAATTTCCAATATCTCTACCTTCTTTGTATTTCTGTTTATCACAATCATTTGCTGCATGAGCTAAATGTAATATTAATTTAAATAGATCTTTGTTAGATATTATTGAATTTCCATCTGATTGGAAATAATTATTAGTCTAAAAAATATAAATTCAATGTTATATATGCTTGAGAGAGAGAGAAAATGTGTATTTTAATTTAATATATAATAATAACTAAATATAAAAATTAATTTGATTTATCTTACCATAATATCTTCTATTATATTCTCAAAATTTCCGGATTTGATTAATTTAATCCAATTTTTCAATTTCATTTGTATATTACACATGATCTAAAATAACCAAGTACACAACTAAATATTCAAGTGATACTATTTTTTATTCAATTTTAAAGATGGGTAGCAAATATTGTTTGTCATAAACGAATTAATTGAAGAATATCAATTGTGGCATGAAATCTTGACATATATCAACTTTACTTCATATTATTTTCAAATAAATTTTTGTATTGCGTAATATCGAAACAAATGTTCATTATATTCATATATATCATTTTATATACATATATATATAATTTTTATATAAAAAATAAAAAAATTATTCTAATTTGTGTTTAATTTTTATTATTGTGTAACAGGAACCGGTAATAATAATTAACAAAACGCCAATAGTTTAAATGAAAACATTACGATCGAAGCGCCACATGGAAAAATATTGTAAAAAGCACTCTTTAATAAAAAAAGTTGTCTGTAATTTCTGTCGGTAAGTGAAAACTTGTCGGAACTCTGTCTTACCGAATCTACAATCTTATGATTTGCAGATTCGCAAATATTTGAAGATTTGGAAAAGAACAGCATCCATTAGTATATTTCATTGTTTTATATATTAAGTACATACATAAGAGAAGAACTTACAAGATTTTAAAATGAATCAAATTTGAAAATTTAATCATATATAATTTTTTTGTTATTCTATTATTTGTGAAGTTCAACAACTTATACATTTAAACTGTAAAATTAAAGTGTTTAGTAAAATTGAACTTTGGTAATATGATTGTATACTTTGAAAATGATAATTAATGTTAACATTTTTTTCTGATATAAAAATTAGTGAATTTTAAATTATAAGTAGTCTATATCATATACATATTCACAATAAATAGAAGCCAAGATAAAAACTTGATAAACTCATTCATTTCATTTACTCGAGTTTAAATAATATATATATAAAATATTTATAATAAAAATAAAATTTTATAAGAGTTGTTTAAGTGCATAAAAGTATTCTAATTTATATGCACCATAATATGTAAATATAAAATGTAGATTGTGAAAAAGATAAAAATCATGTTCATACATCTATATTTAATTGTCCAATTCAGAACTTGTCCTTGCGCTCATTTTATTGTATGCGATGTTCATATAGCTATAAAAAATGTGTTATGGTAGCAAACTGAATTTAAAAAAAAATGTACATACAATATCATACAATATATATTCTATGTTTAAATCATTTAATTAATTATCATGTCTTTAATAAGAAGTATAATTATAATAGATAAAAAGTACTTAATCAAATCATTACACCTCATATTAATTTATCTATGTTCATTAATAGAAGCATTATATGTATATCAATTTGTTTTCATTTTTCGCACATATATGTATCCACTAGCAAATGAAAATATATTAGAAACAGTGGTATATATTATGTAGAATAAATAGATTGATTTAATTATTGAATTTTTCAACTTTTTCATAGATGCACCTTCTATCAGGCAAGTAAAACTATTATCATCTGTCAATTATCTTTGTAGATTAACTACAATACACTTTTGAAACAATTGGAATAGAAGTTAGCAAATTATATGATATTTTCACATTTATTTCTACTTTTAATATATATATATATATATATATCATCACTCAATATATATAAAATAAAATATTGATATATGCGTCTGTAGATTTTTAATTTAATAGCAATACTGTTCATAAATTATAGAAACTCTTATCATTTATTTGCTCGAGTAATTCTTCTTTGAGGGTGCCAGAAAAAGTAATAATAAAATTCAATTAATTATATCTTTTTTCCTTTTTCTTTCTTATCTTTCTTTAGGATATAATAACATGTAGTTTTCTCTTCCTGTCTTTTTTTTTTATCTATATTTGTTGTTTATAATTACTTATTTACCAATTCGTGAGGCATAATTTTTACTTTTTTAAAAAAAAAAAGATAGTCTATAATTAATAAAATAATATATACACTATAAGTTGTTCCATTCGAGATCATGTAGCTTTAATATGTTATTCGTCATTATGCTATGTATAATGATCTAAGCATAGGTAACTGAATTATTCAAGATGATAATACTTATATGAGAAAACATTAACCACTCAGCATTTATAACTATTATTACCGCTAATGGAATTTCAGATGCTTTTACATATTTTAAGGCAAATAACTTAAAGACATAACTACTCGTATATAATGCAGCTAAGCCACCAGATTCATAATAATTTATATATATATATATATATAATTTATTGTTTATGGGAACTATCCGTATCTCTTGAACCTTCTCCAGGATCTGTACATTCTCCCCTCTGGTGGTTTTTAAATTTTCTATCTTTGTAATCGCGTCTGTAATAACGATTCACAGAATCTCTGCGATCCCTTTGCGAATCTTGACATCTGTATTTACGATTATAGTAATCTGGATGATAATTAAAAAGAAAACTTTGATAATGACAATGACACGAATCAAATATAGTAGCGTCTGAATTAATGATACCATTTTGAAGCTGTGGTAATGCAGTATTTTCAACGTCTGAGTGAAGATCCAGTCTGTCATATCGATTTCTTCCGTTTCTGTAGTAACCAAAATTATGATCAAAGCTGTAATGAATATAAGGCATACGTTTATGTTAATAGATATATACAAAATGTGGGAACTATTAATACCTCTGAACACTGCGATGTGAGTAGCTCTGTGTCTGTAATGGTGGAAATTTGTGAGATGTTGATTCTTGTATTCCAGTTATAGATGATACACAGCTATGATGACTATTATTACTATCTCGTCCCCATCCACCCCTACTTGTACCTCCATTATTTGCTGATGCTGCCTTTAACGTTGCAATTTCCTTTTGTTGATGTTTATTTTCCATATGCAATTGTTTTATCACCTCATGCGCATCTGCCAAACGTGCTACTATATCTTCTTGAGCAGATTCTGATTTGCTTCCTACTTGTATTCCTACACTTGCCACATCTATTTTCTGATTTTGTTTTCCTAATTCCTCCACGTGTCTGTAGAAAGTAAAATATCATTGGTTCATTTGTTAATAATATTTTATTAATTACTCTTTTACCGTGTTATTAAATTAATTAATACTAACTCTTGTTGCTTTAATATAACTTCCGTTAAAACTTTGTTGTATGCTTTAACACTTTGTAATGAGTCTTTAACATCCCGCAATTCTTTTTCCAAAAGTTCAACCTTCAAAGGTGTGACGTTCATGGATACTGGGCTACCCTGTATATATTTATATACATATGTAGAAGTTATAATATATATATTATGTATAAATTATATATATAAATATATATTGTGCATAATAAATGTATATATAATTTATAATAAGTAGAATTTCTTTTTTTTACTACTTTATAGATCCATTCTTTGTTAGAGGGTATAACACCTTTGGTTTAGCGAACCCATTTCCATTATCTTCAGGGGAAGAAGGACTGCTAGGTATACAAGTTGTTCCTTTTGAAAAAGTCAATTGAAATTGCAAATCTGTGTGTGTAATAAATAATATATTATTATTACTATAATATATAATATAAATGAAATATATATATTATATATAAAAATAAGTTTATATATCAAAGTCATTGATATCTATATACCTCTATTTCTTTGACGTAACATTTCAACTTCTTGATGTAAAGCAAGCAAAGTTGCTTGATGTTGTTCTTGTAGAAATTTCACATTTTGCTCTAATTGAGTTGCTCTATCTACGTTCATATTTTGTTGTCTAGTTTGTATCATTCCATCGGTCTTCTTGTTTAAAGTTATATCATGTGAAGATGGTTTTTTTCCCTATAAAAAGAAAGAAAATAATAGAATACGATGAAATACAAGATGACGATAATAATAATAATATTCATTTCTCATTCTTCTTTACAGAAGCTTACTTACTTGTGGAAATGGTACTGTTGGTAACTCCATGAGTACTTTGGATATCATCTTGAATATATATAATTTATCTTATTTAAAAAATGAATTCTTTTTATAATGCACGTACCACTATTCTATAAAGATATTTCCTTTCTATTATTATTATTATACGCAGATCATTGTTATGCAAGAGAAAATTGTAAATTAAAATAATCTACAAAAAATCTATATTTATAATAACTTGAATATTATTTAATCACTTAAATGACCATTTCTTTTCGATCTCATATTTCAAGTTATTCAAGAAGTTACTCGATAGAAAATATATAAAGTATAGTGAAAATAATAAGAAACAATAGACATTTATAAAAAGAGATCGCAATATAATTATTACGAGATTAGAAAAATGATCAACTTAGAAAATATAAAGCAGACAAATAAATCTAACAGAAACATGAAATAAATAAAAGCACTATGAGAAAAATAATGCAATTCATTCTTCGTACACTTTGACTTCTGAAATTGTGACATATCACTGTTTGTTATTCATTATAATGATTTTGATTATCAGAGTTAAAAAATAATCTTAATCTTTAAAACAAACAATGAAAAATGACAAGTAAGATGTAAAAAAAGATATCAATCAGAGCATTTTGTAAAAATTGTCAAACGAATTGGATAATTTATAACAAAAATAATGTAAGGTAAAAGAAAATTACCCTCAAGGATCATAGATATATAAAAGGAAGTAAAATAAATAATTAACTTCAATCATTATTTAAACACTTTACCAAGTAATATTTAAATATACGCAACGAGCTCCTGGAATGAAACACCAAAGAATAAAGGGTTCGATTAAGATTCCAGGTACAATTGTGTGACGATCAAACACCTCGAATCTACTGAACGTCACTTAATTCTTATCTTTGATTGGTCGGTTAACGTATAAGATGGCGACCCGTTCGAATTGTTCTTTTAACAATCAAGCATGATTAAACGCATTTTTAAAAAAGAAATTTTACTCGTTAATATCATTCTCGTATAAAAAATTCATAAAAAGAACCTAATAGATTTTATTTATTGTTTTTTATCACAATTATCGTAATATTAATTCGAGTATAATAGATTTAACTAATAAGATATAACTTGTGCGACTACTTTAAGAATTTGCCGCCGCGCAAAATCCGACTCCACTCGTTCAGTAATCCAAAATAGCCATGACGAGACCTTGTAGCCGCGCAAGTATTGATCGGTGGTGGTGATTTGACGAGCGATAACCGCGCCCACCCTTTCGTCCTACTACCCCTCCGAATAACACCTGTCGTACATGTTAACGCGCAAAAAAGCACCCTAATGCTTTACCCTTTTTCAAAATTTGGCGCGTAATTCGAACAAAATTTAAAATTTAATTTTTATTGATAGACTTTTTAAATCATTTTAGAAGAAGCGAAGAATGAAATAAAAGACAATAAAATATATTTTTAAATCGGAACTTTAAATGTCTTCTTGTTAATTCATGAAGTTTAAAATTTAAAAAAGAAATTAAACTTTGTTTTTTGCAAAATGAATTCAGAACAATTGAAAAATATTGTTAATGTTTGTTCATTGTTAAAATAAGTCGTATCTAGTAATATAAAGTAAATATTGAGTGAATATTGCATTTAATATATTTCTAAAACATCTTTTAAAAGTTCGATAAGTGATATCGAATAAAAACCACCGATTGATGGCTTGCCACAAACCGAAAGACATTTTAACAACCCCCTGTTCTTGGTTTTCATCCAGGGTGGCATTTTCCCATATTCTATTTTATCAAATTCTACATATATTTCCTCTTTTTATATCTTTTAACATTTAAATGATCTAAAACGAATGATTAGGCGAAAGTATAAAAAAAAAAGGTAAACCTAACCAAAGAAAAAAAATGTCATTTTTATTGGCAACTTCGCAATCCGCCTACCTGGCGAATAAAGAAAAGGAAGATTTGTTGTATTCAGATGAAGATGGAGAAAATTATAATTTTAAGGTAATTAAATGTATAATAAAAAAAAAAAAAGAAAAAAATCAGTCATATTATTATTATAATTTTTTTGAATTATCCTGATGTTATATTTTAATATTTTTGTATTTTTTAAAATTTAAGTATATATCCGGAAATCAATTCAAGTACATAATTAAAGACGTGCAAAGAAGAAGATGCAGAGACGAAGAGGAACGTGCATGGTGTAAATTTGTAAAGCAACAAGAATTAGACGTTAATTTAAAGTAAAGTGAATGAAATAGCTTTCTTTTCTATTTTTAATATTATCTTCAGAAAGTCCTCATACATTTATCAATAATAATAAATGTATTTAGCACTAAAAGATACAACAGGGAAGACAGAGAGTTAAAAAGACTGGAGGAAGATGCGCTTCCAGAATATAAATTAGGATCTTATGTAGAAGGGAGCGAAAGGAATAATCATAAATCAATTTATTCGGTAAATATGCAATATTTTAATACTTCAAAGGAAAATTTTGTTTATTAGTAACTTCGTTTATTTTTCTTTAACATATTTTGGTAATTAATTAGGAAAAAGAAAATGAAGAAGAAGATATTCCAAATAAGATAATAAAAACTAAAAGCAATGATACCATTATCATCGATATGAATCAGTCAATCTTGAAAGAAGATTTATTGCCATATACAAGAACTGTAAAATCTAAACGATCTTCAGATTTGAGAAAAACTTGGTCTGATATTGTACAAAGCAAACATCCCAAAGAAAGTCATGTAGCATGCAATTTCGAACATAATTCTACTCTTGAATTGAGCATAGAAAATGAAAGTGATAAAGAAGATAATATTTTTGTGCAACCAGATCCCATTACTGTGCATAGAATTATAATAATGCAGCAAAGAATTTCTGAATTGTTAGATGAAATTTTATTTAGATTAGACAGAATTCCATTGCCTGACGGAGACATAGATTTGAAAAGAAGGCAACAACGCGTCATGGAATTTTGTATAAGATTATCGAGGAATTATTTATATGATCTTACCAAATATGTCAGCGACATTCAGAAACACGTGCATGCTGTTTCTCCATCTGTAAAAATAAAATCTAGCCATAGAGGCATTACATTTCATATGCAAATAATTGAACAAAAATTGATGGCTGCTCATCAGTTATTATTACATGCATTGACCGCTTATTGCAGACATATTCCTAGTTCAATTCTGCAAGGACATTCTAAAAAAGTCAAAGAACTATTAAAAGTAGTGATCGACTTGAAAGACATTTGCGATCATATTCAATTGACTAAAAATTATTTTGGTTCGGGAGATACTTGTACATTACCGCTGGTAAATAAATTCTTTCCAAGTTAAAATTTAGATAAAGTGTACATAAAAAATTACACGCAATGCGTACGCGTGAAACAGCAAACTTTAAAAAATATAAGAAAAATGTCAGATTTGAATTCGCTTACAGGTTCTCTAATTGCAGGAAAAAGAGATGCAAGCCAAGTGTAATGCTATTTTATCTAAGTTGAGATTGAGTTCAGGAACTGAATCGCAATTAGATGATCACAATACAGTTTCAAATATAGTTATTCCAATAAATGTATCACGGACAAAAGATCGTTCCAAACATAAGAACTTAGAAACTCGATTAAAAATGTATAATAATACGAAGACCAAAGCATATAAGAGCAATTATAAAAGAAATTCTTCAGGTATGTAATATGATCAATACATTTTTGCAAGCTAATACTTGAATTATATTAATTTATAGTACATCATATAAAGGATAAAAAAACTAACACATCTCGTAATAAGGCTATTTATAATGAACACTTATCTTTACCACAACAACCAAATTCTAGTCCAATTACAAATGCATCTTCTAAAGGTATTATTGAAGATGATAAAAAGTACAACATATCCTTGAAGGAAGATGATATCAAAACAATAATGAGTACAGTCCCCATAGATTCTGATAATGTAAGAAAAATTTACTTTAATAATTAATAAGATAAAAATATTAATTAACAGAAAAGAGAACTAAAAAATCCGTACGAATATAGGATATCAATTCGGAAATACATTCTAAGCGTAGTACTAAATTATCAAAAAAGACAAAGGTAACAAAAGACTTACCAAATAAATTGCATAATGTAAAATATTCTAAAGACGAGTTGAGACATAATAAAAGAAGAAGTAGTCATCCCCATTTTTATAATGATCCAATGAATAAGGTAATATAAATTATGAATTAATAGTTCTTACATCTACATTATTTTCCATTTTACATTATAGAAGTATGGTTCAGCAACTTCTGATGAAGTATTGTTTGAATTTCTTCAAAAGTCTCAACATTTTCAAGATTGTAATGATAAGGATGTTTCTAATAGTGATTTTACAAGTCGTACATCAAAAAAACATTACGCATCAAAGAGGTAATTGTTGTATCTTGATAATAACTTTTAAATTGTAAATTACAGTATTTGTCTTTCTTTGTAATTTAAAACAGCAGAGAAGAAATTAAAGAAGGTAGAAACATGCAATTGATTTATCTTTCATCTTTGGATAATTTATCTAACGAACAAACATGTTGCAATGCTACAAATTACCTAGATAATCTTAAAAGGGTAAGTATTACATATATTATTACAATTACACAAAAAAATAAAGAAAGAAATAATATTTTACAGCAGAATGGTAGCATTCAACTATTTATTTCTAAGGAAACTGAAGTTAAATTTTTTAAATATAGAGCCGAATATTATAATTTATTTAAATCTAGTCCAATGTATTCCAACAATACGCAGAATAAACCATGGGATATTGTGGCATGGTATAAATATTTTATTTTAATTAGTATTACAAATAAATATAATAATTTTAAACTTTAACTTTTTCAATAGGATTTCTGATAAACTTGTGGACGAATTGATCAATGAAATTGCGAAGGAACTTGAAATGCAAGATATAATTCAAAAAATGTATCAACTAGAATTTAAAGAATTTTAATATATACACATATATATTTATATATCATCTCTCAGATTCTTTAATTACAGATAATAACAAAGAAAGAATTATATTTATTTGAAACACATAAATTTGGAATGTTTTAGACGTACGTTACTTTTATAAATAAAATATTAATATTTTTAATCAGAGTTTTACTTCAGAATGTTATCTTTTTAATTTATTAATTTTATTTTCAGTTCTTTCACTGAATATATAGAAATATATGATATATAAAAAAATATAGAAGATGCAAATGCAAACATAGTTTTTTTTATGTTTACATTTGATCATGTGATATATAGTATGTATATCAGACGCAATTAATTACAGCGCTGATAGCGAAATAGTAAGGTTATGTATTTCAGTCCCTTTAAAGTACCCAAGCTTTTAGTCAAAAGTAAATGTATTGTTTGAAAGTGTAATTAAAGAATAAAATTTAATTATTATATAACATTACTTTCATAATATGTTGATAGTAATATAATAATTAATTATACACAATGAGAATTACAATTTTAAAACTTTATAAAGATTTACTACGTTATGGTGAACAGTTAAAATTTACAGATAAGAAATATTATCAATATCGAATAAAGAAAGAATTTAAACAAAATAAAACGTTAACTGAAAAGGCAGACATCGATTTTCAATTAAAGGTAATTTTATCGTAAGAATTCTTATTACGAATAATATTATTGACATGAATTTAATCAAACCATAACCTATAATATTCAAGCATTAATCAATAGTGCTTTATTGTTGCATATTTTTATATTTTTAGAAAGGATTGACGTTACTGAAATATCGAAGAGTAGTGTAATTTCAAAAGTACGACAATTTATTAATACAAGGTGTGATCAAAATGAACAGACATGCTAATGCTATATTTTCATATGTACAATCTATTACGACTAAACGTTCATTATTTTACGCTATATTTCAATACCTCCATACAAAAATTCTTCTTTTTCATACACCTATTTATTCTCATAATGACAAGAAAATGAATATTCATCATACGCAACATATAAGTTTCTACGATCAAATACGTTTCAAATCCTTTAAACGTTACTTGGATTATTCTAAGGTACCAACCCTGAACGAGAATGAACTGGAAGAAAACTTCGTAAGAGGAAGTGGTCCAGGTGGCCAAGCAACTAATAAAACAAACAATGCTGTAACTTTAAAACATAAACCGACAGGAATTGTTGTAAAATGCCATGAGACAAGAAGTTTATGGACTAATCAGAAACGTGCAAGAGAGATAATGATTACCAAATTAGATAATTTGTTAAATGGTGATCAATCAATCGAGAGTCAAGAACAAAAACTTAAAAAACAGAATTTAATAAAGAAAAAACAAAAGCAGAAAAAACTAGCAGAGTTAAAGAAATCGTTTAAAGAACGCGAAGGATTAGTATGATTTAAAAAAGAAAATATCATTGAAAATTCATCTTTGTATTTTTGATTTGTTGTAGAGAAAACATAAATTAGATTTTACTGTCATTAATAACATAAATTTTAAATTGATCCTCAGTTAATGACTTACCTTAATATAAAACTAAAGTTAAAATTAAAATTAAAAAGATTGGAAAAGAAGACAAACCTTTTATTGAAAAATTCGTATCTTTAATAATAATTTTTTTTGTATAACTCACGAAAAACTTACATATTTCCACTTTGAAATAAAATAATTAGGGTTTCTTCATTTTTTTTTCCTCTGAGGATTTACAATGTTACCTTGAATAATGTGAAGCATAAACAGAATATGATTATACATATTATAAAGCTGTAATATGCAGTCTCGCGCACTTTAGGAATTTCCTTTTTTTTAGTTACATACATTTCAGAAATATCGTTTACATAATACGTACAGTGAAATACTTTTTTTGTATCTGTTACAAATAATATAAATGAAAAAACCGCTGTGAGAGAGTGGAAATGAGATAAAATACGGATAGAAAAAGAAAAAAAAAAGAAACTCACATTCATTCTGAGAACATCAAGACCGCATTCGACGAATGTACAAGTTTGACGATACCGCGAGTATCGTCAAGAGATATCAAGTAGGATATTATAACTAAGATTTTATGTGTCAGTAATGTTAAATATTATATACTACGTAGACGAATATATTACACATAATTTACATGGATAAATAAAATTTCCAAATTTCAGTGTCTCTCTTTGTGGCAAGAAAAAGAAGCATATAAAGAGTACTTAAATTCTGAAATTTGAGACGGTGGTAGTGTTAGCGTAGGCGCGACTTTTTTTACCCAGGATTTCAGCTACTTTTTAACCACCTTCTAAATTGTCCACGAGAAGTTTTTAAACGTTTATGAGGTGGCTGAGCATCAGGTCTATTATGAGAATTAGAACTTCTTAATCTTCTATTACTCGCTACTGTCACTGATAAAATACTATGATCCATGTCAACTGAATTGTCTATCTTCATCATTCTAACTACTGGCTGAAACTCGATGCTTGAACGTCTTTGTTTTAAACCAGAAGACGGCATGATAGTTGTTGCCGTGGTAGGTGTGTTACGTTCCGACAATGCACATTCGAGCTCAGCAGAATCTTGCACATCCGTCGATGGTCCTATCGTTTCATTGCTTTGTTTTTTCGAATTTTTTATAGTTTCTTGCTTTTTACAAGTAATATTCAAATAAGACTCCTTTTTACAATTTTCGCTTTCGTATACGGATTCCGAGGAAGTCTTATTATTCCTTCGTTGCTGTTTTCTCGTATTAACTCGTTGCCTAGGCGTTACTACTCCTACCTTACTTCTCCTGTAAACACTTCTATGAGCGTCTACTTCGATATTAGAATTTTCAGAATGAGTTTGTTGACATCCTAGCCTGGACACATCACTTGAGCTATGCTTCCTCGATACTATACCTGAATCTATATCCTTTCTACTTAATAAAATGTCATGATTTTCAATTTCTGTACGTGATTCACAACTCTCTGATGATGTATTTATGCGAGGACGTTTTTTAACGACCCCTTTCGTTATGAATTGTCGTTCACCGTTATCATAACATATCACAACACCATTCACATCTTTCCTAAATACATTCTCGTGATTTTCATCGTTTCCAGGATTGTTTTCCGATACTTCTTCTTCCTCCATATTTAACGTAAAATTCTTATCTGATAAAGTTCTTTGCGCTTCGCTAAATACCTTAGTAATTTTCAATCCATCAGTAACTGTGCAATTTTTTGTACCAGTATTCTCCGTATTTTTATTTTTACTGATCACAGCCAGACTAAGACACGTTTTAGGACAAGTTTTAGAAGATGCTTTGGAAGATGTTTTAAGAGATGTTTTAGAAGATGCTTTAGAAGATACGCTAGGATCATCGTTATAATTATCAGATGTACTTTTATTATTCTTTTTATCTATTGATGTTTTTTCATCATGCCTGTTAGTGGTAAATGATATTGTGCTACCATTCGATAAAACTATTTCTGTACGTGTATCTGCCATCAATCTTTGAGACATATCCACGTCGGCATCGGCAGCATCAGCATCGGCATCACCATCGGCATCGGCATCAGCAACAGCAACAGCATTAACATCACCATTTGTATTGCTATTAGTATTTGTATTTTTTTCTGACAGACCTACATTTTGTTCAGCAACATTTTTTTCCCTTGACAATTTATAATTTCCTTGACCATTGTAAGAGGAACCTACTATTATTTTATTTTGCATCTTTTTCCGTATCTTAATGCCAGGCCAACCTGTTCTATTTTTCCTTCTCTTCCGACGTTTTAAAGGCGACTCAACATTTACTTCACCACATTCCGAGCTGGCACACGATGAGTTTTCTATACATGGTACAAGTTCATGGCAGTTGTCTAATAATTCCAATAGATTTGCTGGAGGTCCTTTCGGTAAATTTGATTCTATGAAAGGTTCTTCTTCTAGCCCGTTGTACATATCTACTATATCTAAACTGTCTCTCATATTAAGCATTTCATCGATATTTTTTGCTATTTTTTTCAATTCTTCGTCGATTTCAGATGTCAATTTTTGATCTGCTTTTGTATCTGTTTTCAGATCTGCTTTTATATCTATTTTTGAGTCTACTTTTGGAAGAGGAGTATTATTAATCTGCGATTTAGGAGATTGACACTCTTCTCTGGTACAAATATTTGATGTGAGCTGTTGCTGTTCCCTTTTTCTTATAATTGTAGACATTATAGCTAACGTAGATGCATGACAACGTGGACTTTTTCTAGGGGACCGTCCGATACACCCTATACTACGACCTTTACCTTTTTTTCTATTTTCGTTCTTCGCCTGATTCCTCAAAATAGTTTCATGAAAGTTTTCTATTTCATAAGGTAAAAGGAACGGTCTTCCTGTATCACCATCGCTAAAATAATGCCAAAATTCAGCACCTTCATCTTGCCGTTGATAAGTTTGATACCATGGCTCAGATTTTGGTATTACTTCAAACGAAAATTGCATTCTTTCAACTTCTGCCGAAGGCTTGGACGGATAAATTTTCTCTATGACTTCTCCATTAATATCAGATCGTAGTTCTTCGTTTACAGGATCTTCAGGATTAAGGGATGCCCTGACTCCTGTTAATGGCGCTTGATATCTTAGTCTACTGCCAGGTGTCTCAAACTTGTAATAGTCAACGTTGTCTTTAATAAGCGCCTCTGCCTGTGTCCGTCTTCTTTTTCTTGCTCTACCAAGATTTACAGAATCTTGAGAATCTTCTTCCAAAATCTCTTGTTTTATCTCAGGACTTGAATCCACGCTAGAGCTAAGTATATCGGAACTAACAGTCTCATTGAATTCACTTTCAGTGTCCCTTGGTAAAACACTAGTTTGTTCTTCATCGCTGACATCTTCACTCGTATCCTCGCGTTTAGGCTCTCCAAACATAAATGACTCAGCCTCATCACTGAGCAGGGAGAGTTCTGATTTTCTTACACGTTTGAATCTTACCACAACTGGTTTCTCACTTGATGGTTGCTCCTTCTTTTCAATCTCGTCTGCATCCTTAATTGTAGGATTTAACGCATTATTATTACCTGGCAACGTACTAGATCTTAGTTTACTTCCTAATACTTCCACCTTATAATATGCACGATTATCCTCAATCAAGCGTTCCTCGACTGACAATCTATGACGTCCGCGAAAACTTCTACCACCTCTTCTACAAGCTCTTGGCGATCTAAGTTTCTCACAACGTAAGTCTTTTTCCATACACTGTACCACCTTAATGTCTCCTTTTTGGTTGTTCTCTGTATCACAACTACAAAGTACTTCAGATTTCTTATCATTATGATCATTTCCAACTTTTATACTATCCGATGAAACTCTTTGTAATTCCAATTCATTTTTTGCACCATCAAACTTATCTTTAGACTCTGTAGAATGCCAAGATTCAATACGATTATTCTTATCGGATAATCCGTTAATATTTACATTATTTTTTAATAAAGTAGATCTTCTATTTTCATTAATTTCTCCACGATTATTAACATTTGTATTGTTTGCATTCTTTGAAGGTAGTTCAGGATGAAATACGCCATTTTGTTTATTAGTCGGAATTCTTTCATCTAATGTTTTACCTTCTTGATTATCTTGCTTATCTTGATTATCTGTACCATTACGTCTTTTATTTACAGAATTATTATCCCCATATTCACGTTGATGAATACCATTTAAATCTTTTCCCGTTGATTTAATATTATATTCTACTTGGTCAGAATTTTTAATGTCACTTGCTTGCGAGTATTTATTTTCTGGATCTTCTTCTTCGATCCAAATAGTTCCTTTAGCCCTTTTCTTTATAGTAAAACCTTCTAATTTATCATAAAATTTTTCATTCTTATCGATTTCGTGCCAAGGGCTACCTTTTGACCTCAGTAAATGTCCACTTTCATGTTTAGCACGTGTTCGTAAATTATGAGGAGAATTTAATTTTAAATTTAAATTTCTTTGCGTACCATTGCACTGCACCATGTTTATTCCTTGTACAGAAAAATTATTTAATGTCTTTGCATTTTTCGTAACTTTTTCTTCTGGCAGTTCATCACGAAGAGTACGTTCTTCATTTGTGAATATATTACATTCTTCTCTATTGGAAAGAAAAAAAAAAATAGAAAAAGAAAAACAGAAAGAAAACGATAGATTATAAAATGATCTCATATTATCTTACACAGTTAATAAATATATATATATATATATAGTAAAATATTATTTGCATATAATATATATATAGCATAGATAATATTCAGTCCTTTAATTGACTATATCAAAAGATTGAAATGATAAAAAAAAGAAAAAGAAAAGATAAGAGAATTAAAATTTAAAAAATTTACTTACCCAATATCTTTTGTTCTATTCAATTTCAAAAATGCCTCAACACTTGCATTTGTGTTGATTAATCTATCCAAAGAGAGAAAATTGTCATCGTTTTGAACGAAATTCAAATGTTGATCACTTTCAACGTGTTTTGATAGATCACAATAGTCTATTCGACATATTTCACAAAAACCTGCTCCTAATTGTTCTGTTCTACGAGCACGAGCTGCAGTGGTACGCGGTCGTCGAGTCATTTCTTTACCCTGGCACTTCATAAGATTATAAAACATTAATTTAGCGACTAGTCATACATATAACTAATGTATAAAATATTATATATTTATAGTAGCACACCTCTTTTTTTTTTGCAATAGCTTCTCTATTCTCTTTAACTTCTTTATCTGTTTTATTTTCAAGTTTTCCTCTTCTCTTTGTATCAAAGGGACTTGTCCCTGGATCACCGTCAAAGTTCAATGTTGGCCACGTTGATAATTCCAAAAATACAGGTCTTTTATCTCTGAAAAGAAAAATAATTATATTAAAAAGAAATGTATATTATAAAATATACAATATATATTATATTTATGTCAGTAATTATGAAAGAGGATTGACTAAAAAATGTAGGAAAAATTAATTTCGTGATTTATTTTAGATTAAAATTATTTATATTATAAAATAAAACTTTGTTTTTATTTTTTGATAGTTCATTTTCAAAATTGCCGATACATTTATTGAGAGTAAACTTTACCTGCGAAGAGATTCAAACTTGACATATGAGCCTCTTAAGTGCTTGACTTTTAAGTCTTTTTCTAATCTTTGCCTACTCGTTCCTTGTAGCTGTTTCAAGTTATTAGTATCTTGAAGAGATGCATAGATTTTATCGAGCCAAGCCTGAATTTTTTCAGTTGTACAGATAGTTATTCCCCAGTTTAAGGCGTTTTCGAGAGGATCCACGGAACAATGCTGTGGTTGAGTCAGAGCACGTTCCAACATTGCATCCGTCCGCGATTTCTATAAAATGTACGAAAAAATATAATATTATAATCACATACATGAATACCATTAAATATTTGTATCATTTAATTGATATCCAACTTACAGATCTTTGGGTAGGGTGACCCTGTAGATTGGTCGTATTGTACAAAGGACACTCAGAACTTAAAAGTGATGTAGGAGGAGTTGGAGTTGGAATTTCTAAGCTCCTCAGCGAGGGGGTTCCCCCGCTGCCTCCACTGATACAACCCCATTTATATTTCTCAGAATTAATTTGACCAACTTTATCTATACGATCTGTGACAACTAGACTAACGGTACGTACTAAAAATAATTCTATCACCTGAAACAAAAAATAATTATCAATATATAATCATTTAATTTATAAAATTTGGATAGATTCACAAAGAAAAAAAGGAACAAACAATAAACTGACATGTATCAGTTAGGCAAATGAAGACAAATGAAGACATTTTAAAAAATGTTTCTGTCATCATCATAAATAAAAAATTCATCAAAGTATGCATATTCAAAGTTTGGCTAAAAGATAGAAGGACTGTATACAAGTTAAAAGTACCATTACCGATATTTTTCCTAATACAGAATAATCGTCCAGTGTTATGTTTTGAGTTTAACTTCAAATGATACTTCAAACACAAGTCTTCAAACGGAGCGTTGCATCGTACGCGATTAGAAGTACGCCGGAAAGTGAACGTAATTTTCAGATTTAATGTTCGCAATAATGGCACAAAGAAAAATACGGAGCGCGTACGTAGTCGACGCTAAAACTTGATGCTGTTTTAATATGGTAGCTTAATGCACCATACATAATATACACACGTACAAATTTCAAACAATACAGATCTCATATTTTCAATAAACAGTAGTAAGTATGTAACACAACACACACACACGCACACGCACACACAAATAAAGAGAGACACGTGCTTTTTAATGTGTATCCTCGTGAGAATTAAATATTTATTTTTAATGGATAACTGAATGTATATAATATACTTTTTTCGAGAAAGAACGAACGATAGAATGAAGGAAGCAAGAAACGAACGAATGAACGAACGCTACGTTAGTCGTAAGATTCACGTTTGCCAAGAGAAGCAAGAGAAAAAATGAGAGGAAAAGAGAAGGAGAGTTGAGGGAGCAGTAAAGAAGGTAAAAGAGAAAAAGAAAGAGATATAGGACGGAAAGAAAGGGAAGGATGGAAGGAAGAGGAAAGGAGAGGGAGGAGGCAGGGGATGAAGCGGAAGATGGGGGAGAGGAAAGGAAAGGGTCCGCTGTCAAGGCGCGCGTCGCGAACAACACGCTCGAGCTTTGTAGAGAAAATAACTTTTGAAAATAAGATACTTTGACGATGCACCTGCTATTAAATACCAATAATATTACCGATTTCTCATCGTAAATATGTTATTGCGCGCGCAAATACATAGTTTTAGATAACTGTGCAGGAATGCTTGTATATGTATATAAATTCTAATAAAAAAGAGACCGGGCAAAAGCTGCGGTCGTCGTCGACGACGACGATGGCGGCAACGATGGCGGCGGCGACGGCGACGACGACGACGACGACGACGACGACGACTTTAGCTGCAAATTATATAAAAGTATAATTCTTAGAAAATATAAGCGATATCGTTCAAGCAGGTGGAACGTCGTTGTTATTCTAGCTTCGCGATATAGAACTGTCACGCACAAAATGGCCATTTGCCGTTAAAAGCTTGGCATGGGTGCCTGGTGGCGGCGCTTAGTGTCTGCGTCAAACTTCTTCTGAAGATGACGAAGAATGCGGCTTCGTCTAACCATTTCTCGTTCCTCGTACAAGCATTGAATTCGGTCTCTGTTACAAACATCATCCCTACCGTATATTCTCCTTTATTACCCCCACCCACCTATTCAAAGCATGGCGACGACAACACCATCGCCACCATGCTTCTATTTTTCATCTATATACACGCTCGTACGTGCACACATACATACCACATATACGGTGCATCGTAAACACACGCAAGGAACGTATCCCATCTTCCCCCACCCCCTTTACCACCAAGATACGATCTAAGTTTGTATGAAAGACTAAAGATGGCGCTAAAACCAACTTTATACGAGATATTCTCACATGTGGATCCGTTCTTCTCTGTATATTTAAAAGATGAACTTTATTTATTCCCCCGCTCCTAACGCGTATTAGTTCTGATTTTACCGAACAACAGTAAGAGAACGATCATTGATAATGCTCGGTCTATTGTTCGGGTTGGTCAAACTCGTTGCGGAGTGGAACATTGCAAATGGCCCCACGCGTTTCCTTTCGGGGCGGAGCCCGCGCTCGGTTCGGTTTTCTCTCTTTCTCTTTTTTTCTCTCTCTCTCTCATTCCATGACGACAATATATAACAAATATCGCTACAGAGTACGATTATTTGCAATGGAAAGAACCTATTCGCATAGGATAATAATGTCACCGTCATCGTTTACATTCTCCCTTTCTCCTTTTCTTTTTTCTTTCTTTCTTCGTCATTATTTTTCATTCATGCATGTATATATATATATATATATATATATACACACGTTATATTTCGAATTAAGCTTGGACAATACGAGACTATAATGTCAGGCGTTCATTGTCGTGTATAGAGAGTAGCATTGCGACTTAACTCTAACGTCTCTTAACAAGAAACTCTCTAAGAATAGATATTTAGGCTTGTGTACGAGTTCAAAGAAGACCTCCTTCGTAGAGATTCCCTTCCAACTGTAAACTAGAAGGAATTTGAAACTTTCTATTATTATATACGATCAATCTTTCTCCTACCTTCCTAATCTTCCTAACGCAACATATCCAATTGATGTCATCGTTTCATTAACATGTACTATAAATGAAATAGAACTTTATTAAGTGCATTAAAGTATACAGTCACGATCCTATTTTCGAAGAATTCAAAATTCGTATGATAACGCGCGTTTAAAGTCTTAGTCACGTCCTCTATCGACCGTAAAGACGTATCAATCGAAAATGGCGGGAAGGGGTACAAAAAAAAGGGGGAAAAAAATAATAAGGACGCCCAACCAAAATACTTTAAAATGTTAGAGAAAACACAATGAATCGATAAAGAAGAGTATAGGAATACTTTTAGAGACAGTGTAGATGATTTGTACGTCTAATATTAAATAGCACTCAAATAATGACACTTACTCCTCCAAGATCCTTAATTTTTGCTTCTAACTTGGCTGAAATAGCATGATTTTTTATATCCAAGTAAAATGACTTCTTTGCCAAAGGTTTCAGTCCCTTTTGTATGCGAACATCTAGAAATAATTAAATATATTTTCATTTCCATATAAACACGTATTCGATTATATATTTTCAATTTATTTGCATTTTTGAAGTATTTGAATAAAGTGAATAGTAAGTATACAAAAGTTATATAAAAAGAAATTTCATGGTATTGTAATAAATAGAGAGGCGATTGCGTTATTAACAATAAAAGGTTACCTATAATATTAATTTCTAATATAAATAATACCTAGTAACATTTCCAACTTGAGAAGGTAAGAGAAGATAAAAAAGAACATGCGTTAAAAATATAATTCTATCGCAATTTGAATGTCAAATTAGCTGACCTGTAAAAATCAAAGTCAAAATGAAATAAACGTAAGGCCATAGAGTTAAATTAATAAATATTAAATCAAATGATAAACCAAGTAAAATATAAACACAACACGTTAGAAGACTAATTTCATTGGTATAAGACGAATACTGTAGGGGTCTCGAGTTTTGTATAGATGAGCCAAACGCTTGGAACGAATGCAGGTCGTCTCGAAATGTATGTGTCTCTACACGTATGTATTATGTATGTATGTACATATGTAGATATATATGCATATATACAGAAACGTATGACAACGAAGCGTGTATAATCACTTACACGAACATTTATCCAATATATATTCTTTCGACGGTTGCTGCTTTTGCTCTTGCTGTTGAAGTTTGGACGGTGATACCATTCCTACGCAATACACCCTACAAACACCAACGATATTTCTTCTTCTTCTTTACTAAACGCTGCTGCTGCTTCTTCTTCTTTCAAATCAGTTTCCATACTCGGAATAGTAACGCATAACATCACAGTAACGCGTTTTCATATCCACCAACAGATAAACTATGTTTCGAATAACATCACTTATACTTACACATTCAAATTTTACTCAAGATTGTAATGATCATTATTTTCATATTTGCAAAAATCCGTGAATTTTCGTTAATTTGTCCGTTCCGTTTCTATTCCTTTCCATATACATACGATAAGAGCACTGTCGTAGTGAGGGTCTCCGACCTGAAGTAGGCCGAGGTTGTTTTACGGGAGTAACAAACTGAACGGCGCTGTTTTAGTCGATAAAGGTGTGCCAACTGTAAGTAAATAAAAAAACTTGTATAATTGAAACCGAATCAAAATAACATACTTTCTCTTTATAGAAATATTATTTATGAATATTTAAGAGAGAGTTTAACATTTCATCGTTTTATTTTGATTAAAACTTAAGAAAATATTTTATAGTACAGATTAAGTGTAGACTTCATTTTGTCTATCAACGGTAGGTTTTTCATAAAATTTATTTTTTGATTATCATTTTTATTAATATAAAATATCTATTTAT